AAAAAAAATGTCGCTTAAGTTATTTTGGCGGTTAGGGCTCGTTATAATTTCAAAGATATGGTTAATTTGAAAATTTATCAAAAAAAAAATTCAGTGCAATGTAAAACAAAAGTGTGGGTACCAAATGAAATATTTTCTTTTTGGGTTCACAAGGAAGGACGAATAGGAACTGAAAATGCCCCTTTAATCTATTTTATTTTTCTAAGCTAACAAAGTTAGTCCTTAACATATAATTTTTTCAAAAATAAGAATTGAAAAATTTCAAGGATATTCAAATTATAAAAAATTAAATATATATATAAAATTTTAAAAGGGTATTTTCAATACCTTCCCTTACGGACCAAAAAATTTAATGTGTTTTAACTCTACAGAATCTTCTCTTTCATTTGATACCCATTCTGGTTTCTTAAGTATATTGCAGTGAAATTTTTAAATCATTTTTTGAATTACTAATATCTTTTAAATTTCAAAGTTCTTTTTAAAAATCCTGACGTCAGAGAGAAGAATTAAGAACCCAATTTTACTATATTTGGCCCTTAGTTTGGCGAATATATAGATTTTTTTTTGTGCAAAATTGCCTGCCACAAGGTATTATATCGTCGTTTAAAGTACAAAACCGCGTATCAACAAAATGCAAAACCGCGTATCAAGATAATGCAAAACGGCGTATGTGAGGTTGCATAAATTATTTTCTATAGAGTAAAAATACTCATACATATTTCAAAATGGTTCCGTTTTTTATGAAGCAATCACATTTCTGGCTGGTATATTTTAGGACGAATGGATAAGGATTGAGCCAAGAGCTTGTGTGAGCAAATCCAATTTTTTGCAGCAAATGTCATTTACGCGGTTTTGCAGAATGACTATACTCGGTTTTGTACTTTAAACGGCGATATGTATGTACATTGAGCTACACATTTATAAAAAAATGTTAATATTAAATAAACAAAAGAAATATAGCCAAAACTTGTCAACATAAAGCGTTTCTATTATTGCCAACAGTGTAAATTACAAATCCCGAAAATCCCGGGATTCCAGGTAAATAACCCCGGGATTTTCGAGACTTGCAAAATACCGCGATTCCTAGTGTACACTATTCTGCTTTATTACTCAATTGTTAAGTTTTAAAATTGGTCTTATTGCTGAACGAGAAATGAAATAAAGCAAATTTGTGTTATTTCACATTCAGTTGGGAAATAACACTAATTTGCGTTATTGCCGTTATTTATGCACCTTTTGTCACTAGCCTATATGAAAAGATCTTTCGGTACACTAACAAATAAATAGACAAGTAATTTTTAAGTAATAAACTAAACAGACTTCAATTCTCATATTTTATATTTTCATGAACCAATGAACGGATCTAAACCAAATTAGTATGGGACAACTCCTGTGGTAGCACCTTTCATATACAAAAAAATTTAGATCCTATCATTGGATCAATAAGAAATTTACGGGTTTCTTAAATTTTTATATGAGAATTGATGTCGGTTTTGTTTTTTGCTTGAAAATTACTTGTTCAATCTGGGAATTCCATTTTCAGAAACATTTTTTTTTAAATTCAGAAATGCAAACGTATGTATTTTCAAAATTGCTTTATTTATTATAAGAAAAATTTTGCTAACTCATAATAGGATTTTTTTTTTGGCTTTTTAAAGAAACACTCATTGCTTTGCTTAAACATTAAATTAACCTTAATTGTAAGAAGAATTATTTGTTACAGAGTAAATTTTCACCAACGCGTTGAACTTGGCACCTAAATGCTATGACCCACCCAAATTCAGCCTTAATGACCACCCTCATGACCACCTTCATGACCACCTTCGTGGCCATGATGATGGTAGGCTACACCATGCTCCTGCTTGATTGAGAAACCGCTGGTGTGACCATGACCATGACCGTGACTTTCATGCCCATGTCCATGTTCATGACCTCCGTGGTGCTCTTCGAGATGAGCGTAACCTCCATAGTAGCTGGTGTGACCGTGGTCGGCTACATGATGATGTGTGGGCTCACGGTGTACCACGGCATGGAAACCACTGTGTTTGTCAGCCGTATAGTGGACAACGCGTTTATGACCATCCGCATCAATCAACTCATAATGTCCGGTTACCTTATGTCCATCACGCTTTTCGCTGTGCTCCTTCACATCGCCTGTCTTCTTATCCTTCACACCATAGGTGAAATGGTACTCAGCATGCGAATCATGACCGTCATCATGCCCTTCATGCCCGTGTTCATCATGATGATCGTCATGTGAGACCAAATGTATGGAAGCATGGCTGGATCCGCCGCTGTGCTCCTCATGCTCATGTCCACCTCCTCCACTTTCCTCATGGTGCTCATGGTGCTCATGGTGTATGTAGGGTGAGGCGCTTACTACAACCAGCGCAGAACAAACGACGAGAGCGGCGATAAACTGTAGGGGAAGAAAAAAGGATTTGTTTGACCTAATTCTTTTGCAGTTGTTACAGTTCCCGTCTAGGGGCTCCTTTAGCTTACCTTAAAGGCCATTGTACCGCAGCTAGTTTATGAGTTGATGTTTGAACTACTTGTGTTTTAGCTGTCTTAGGTGTTTGCGATCGATAGACCTGAGTGAACTGTGCCACTTTTAGTGTTTCCCGTCGCTTTTATACTCCAAAATAAAATCTAAACGGGCTCATTTTCTCTTAATTCATTTTTCATATCTATTTTGCTGCAACACTTTCCAATGGCCCATATGTGTTGTTGCTGATCAGTAATCGTATGCATGCAAGAGCCGTTGGAGGTGCATTTAATAGAGTGTACGAGTACATAAATAAAGTGCCGGCCGGGTGTTACCGCTTGCTGCTAGGCATTCATTGCTTTAAACGTACAAATGCAGGGCTCATTAGCAAATTAAAACACCGTTAATTACCAACACTGGGCCAGCTGTTACGCAAGATTCGTCGATTAACAGGAATGCCTTTCCAATTGTATGGTGATTTACCCTAAAATATGGAACCAAAAGCTTAACAGTTAAACGTTTTAGTTTTTACTGTAGCTCAAGCGTTTGATCCACTGACCTGCTTTCGAATGATCAAATTACGCACGATTAATTTGCACTGCGGTAGTTTTGCTGTGCTAGCATGTCCATATTTACATTGTACGGCTTTACTCTGATGAAATCAAAGTTACGACCAGTGTTGCCGTTTTAGCCTTTGGTGGCTAGATTTAGCTACCACATAGTTTTTTGGCCACATAAATTTAAAATTGCTACTAGCCCTTTTTTTAGCCGTTTGCAAAATTTATTCATCCTTGACATGAAAAAGTTGCATATGCTTAATTTGATCACATTTTTTTCATTTATGTAAGAGATGAATTTTTAATCTAAGACAGACTCTATGTGTGTGTATATGTATTGTTTTTCCTTACGTTTTTACACAAACTATAAAAGGGTTAGGACCATTAACTTATCTATTAACGATTTAACTATACTTTAAAATAGCCCTGATATGCCTAATTTGTTAAAATACCCATAGATGATACCAGCATGCTGGCGCCATCTAGTGTTGATTCCAGCCGATTGACCGTGTATGTTCTTGCGGTGTGATAGTACCAGCTGCTGGTGCGACATCAAAAACGATTTTACGAAACTTCGCTCTTTTCTGGACCTCATTTGTAAAAAGATAAATATTGTACCAGCTATTGCTAGTATGTTATATGCCTGGAGCCTGATGGTACAATCTCTTGATATACCCTTTTATATACATATATGTAAACTGCCGCAACAAAGTATTGGCACAGCAAATTTTTCACAATATATGCAATAATTTTCATTCTAATATTTTTCCGCTAATTTCGTATAAAAATATGGCTCATTCTACAACAAAAAACATAAAAATATAATTCCTAAACTTTGTGCAAAACTCGCGAAAATTCAGCAATTTTTATATAAAGTGCAAGTTTTATGTAGCTAGGAATTACCTTCGATTTTTGACAATTTTTTTCACGCAGTCTCTTCCATACAATAAAAAATTTTCGAAAATACTTTATATGGAAAAAATGTAAAATACCTTCGACAAAAAAAATCTCAAAAATCAACGCGATTTTTGACTAGCTCCGAACTTGCATTTTTTACTAGAATTTAATGGGCTGCAAAACTGTATACTCAAAAAAATTCTCAAAAATCTGATTAAAAAGTTGAAAGTTTTCATGAAAATTTGCTGAATTTTCGCGAGTTTTGAATAAAAATTAGGAATTATATTTTTGTTGTTGAATGAACCATACTTTTATAAAAAATTTGCGGAAAAATATTAGAATAAAAATTGTTGCATATATTGTGGAAAATTTGTTGTGCCAATACTTTGTTCCGGCAGTGTAAGTAAAAAATTTTAGCTACCATTTTTGGTCACAATGAATTTTTTTTAGCTCTTTTTATTCCTTTTTTAAAGGGAATTTGGCTACCACTAAAAGTTATTCGCGGCAACACTGGTTACGACTACAATAACAATTACATAGTAAATTTACTACAGCTTTGCTTTACTTTCTCTTTCTCAAAATGCATTTTGCAGAATGCAATCAAATTACTTAAAGACACGGTAGAGCGTGAAATTCATAAGTGGCTATAAACAATGGCATGTCTATACTTAATTTTTAATAACAACACAAACTAAGGAGCAATTATGCATAATAAAGCGAGAAGGAAATAATTTTTGTGCCATAAAATTTGGTCAAGACACAAAATAATGCTTATTGTCTAAAAACGAGGGATTTTAAAACAGATCGTTTATTGTTTAATGATTTTAACTTTACTCAGTATAATGTCTCTGGAGACGGTGGACAAAATTACCTCATAGATGCTATCAAGCCTTTGGTTGATGAAGTCCAAACGGTTAGCAGTTGAGCTATAAAAAATTACAACATTTATCAGTCACAAATTTTGCAAAGAATTCAACAAATATGCGACACTTTCGGGTCATTCTACCGGCATATGAATTTATTGACAAAATTTATACGCTCAGACGCTCGCCATTGCCTTCCAGCGGGCGTTCAGAAGTTGGCTTGTACAGGCGTAGAACCCAGAATGCAACTAGTAGCAAGTACTACGTAAATATCAATGCGATTGATTATTCCCTATCGACTCTCAGAGGAGATCAAACTTTCATGGAGATAAGAGCGGATTAATTCGCCTGCTACTGGACCGCGTTCCTCTGTTGTATACTGGGTCCATATCGCGGCATCTCGATTCGAATATAGTAATGAAATACAACTGTTTTTTTCTCTTCAGTAAAATTTTAATTGAAAAAGCGTGCTCTCTGCCGACTACCGTAATCTCAAAGAGAAATTTCGAATCAAATGTGAAGTCGGCGCGACTTCTTAGCAACTTGAAACATTCATTTTATTACACCAAAATTTAATGGGCTACAAAATTACATACCCAGGATCTTTTAAGAAAAGGAGGATTAGTCTTTGGGATAATATTAAGAGCACATGCAGGTTGAAAGCTGTACATTCCTTTTGATTTTATTGGAGTGAACTTTAAACAATGAGTCCTGCAACTTATTAAATAAATTGAGTTTAACTTTATAATTAGGTGGCAGCTCTCTTTAATGTTATTAATGTTCAAGCAAAATATTTCTTAATAACCTTTCGTTTGGCGCCCATATTTTAATATGTCATACAGTAACTTGGTACACTGAGGGAAATAATGCATAGTAAAAATGATTACTTTATATTTGATTACACAGCCACACAAAAAAAAATTTGTGTTCTGACCCAAAGGTCTCAC